GTAGTTGCCAAAGGGGACAAGCGCGAATCTGGCGCCGGGGAACGTGGCCGACTCGGAGCTCGGCGCGCGGCTGATTCACGCGTCCCCCACTCTCTGCTTCCGCCCACCAAGTCTGCTTCCGCTTCTGCGGCGTATCCCCGCCTAACTCGGCGACTGGGGCTGCTCGGGGGAGAACAATGCAGCGTACTTCCCACACACGACGACTGCCTGCGCATCATCGCATCCTCGGCGGCGCTGGTGGGATATCTGTGGCCAGGGCGGGCCACGCACCGATTCCCGCAATCTACGCGACTGTCACTACAAGGCGTCGTCCTCGGGTGTGCACGGTATCCAGGTGGTGAGTGCGCTTGCTCGTAATCTGTCTCGAATCCGCTGACGAGGTGATGCGTACGGCAGGTATCGCCGAGCCCAGCACTCAACAGCGCGTAGTGCAGAACGCGGCCCCGGAGGCGTCGTGCGCGGCTAGCGGCGACTGCGCCTGCGACTCGACCCATCGGAATGCCTCTCCGTGCGACCCAGCTCCCCTAGCGCAGCATCTGCTGCCTCGGGTGTAGACGTCGTGGAGATGGCTGAGAGGGTCGTCGTACGACGTATATCTGCATGCGCGACGACGGGGCCAGACGGTCCTTCGCCGATTTTGCGCGGATGGGCCGTCTCCTGGCCAAGCTACGATCTCGCGTCCGCAAGGTCCTCCGGGTCTTTGGTGTTTCGGGTCATGCACATCCATCGGATGGTTCAGCCTCGACATCAGACCATATATCGCCCGACACCGCTGAGGCATCATAGGCAGTACTATGGTCAACCTCACTGCCACCGCCCTCCCTCGAGCGTTATTCGCCAGCGCAGAGCCTCCCTCTGTTGGTCGTCACCCCTTTGAAGAAGATCACATGTTTTGCGTTCTGCGATTCATTTTGCACAGCTTTCGATGGTCTGTCGATCCCGTTACCGCTCTCCGGTGGTCTATATACTCATTCGCGCGCTTCTGTTCCATTCAGGGGCCTATGATCGATCTTGCCGTATCGTCTTTTACACAATTCGCCTTGAAAGCAGCGTCTACGGGTCATATGGACTACGCTATATAGATATTGGAAGTTTTTTCAACGCAAGCAGATTGATCACGTTCCGCAAGGCCGGGGAACGTCGTCTTCCAATCATCAGTAAGTATCGTTCTAGAACTCATGGAAGACGCTGAGACCACCCTGTTACACAGATTTGTGTTGCGTCTGGGCTATACCTATCCCGCGAGTAACTGACCTTCACCCAGCCAGGATATGATCAGCGGCATCATTCGCAACTGTATCCTCGTTCATTCTATATCAACAAATTCTTTGCTGGCTTCTGGGGCGACTCGGACGGTCCAGCAGTGTATCTTGTGCGATGTCAATGATGATAAATCGCATCCACAGCGGGTATGCTCCATGTGCTGCCATGCAAACGGTCCCTTCTCACCGCCCACGGCAACCACACCCCAGGCCGCGTGCGAGTTCACGCTCAGTCTCACCGTCGCGGGCACTGGACACGCCTAGGTTCTCGTCCGCCTCATCTGCATCAACCCGCCCGCCAGCTTCTACTGCTCGCGATCGCGCCTGCGGGACATCATCACGGGCTTGGCTATACTAGCTCCGCATGTGGAGGGTCCAAGCTCTCTGAACATTTTACAAACTATCCCGTCTGTGGGATCGCACAACTTTTTGCTCTGACCTTCTGCACGGGGTATGGAGCACCCATTGCCTTCGACGCATTACTCGCTATCTGGAGGCTTCCGTATGTCTAGAAGGTCTACATTCAACGACACGCAGAATCCAGCGACGGGGATGATCTACCCCGCGGGACGCACGACGGGTTTTTGCCGCATCGCTCGACCTAGCAACCACAAACGACACCCATCAATATTGAATCACGTTCCTCAAGACCATCACCCCTCGTCTCTGAATTCTGTCACGCTCAATTCGCGTGTACCAGACAACAATGAAGCTGGAGCGTTCTCCACAGGCTTCCCTACCACCCTCGACGGCTTGTCCTACACTAGCACTCTACAGCACGTCAGAGTGTTTTTGCGCAATCAAGTTCGCGCAGACTATGGTATCCGCCGCTCCCGGTGTGCTCGCCCTGCGCGCGCTCCGCTGATCGATCGCTCCGCGTCCCGCAAGGCGCAAAGGTCACCGTGGACGATGCAATACTCGGTGCCACACCACGCACGTGGCCCGCCCTCCACACACCCAAGATTTAGTGGCTCGTCTCGCCGCGGCCGCCCCGCGATCAGCCCTGTCGCGCCAAGCACACCTCATTGGCAACTCCACGCTGACGCCCAAGACCGCCCCCGAGCGACCATCGCGGGCCTTGTTTCGCTCGCGCGGTGATGCGCGGATCTGGGGGTGCTCGCAGTAGCGGTCGATATGCGCGGTGCCGTGCCGGACTTCGACGTACGACGGGGCCCACCGGTTTGCTTTCCGGGCACTGGCGGGTGCAAGTTGACGAAATTGGGGACTAAAGGGTGCGTGGCTAGTGACGACGTGTTGGCGGTCGCGTCCCTCTAATCGCTCGTGCTTTGGGTGTTGCTGGAAATCGGACGCCGTCATCGTGGCAGTGGTAGAGACTTAGCGAAGTGTATAGCAAGCCCGTCATCGTGCGGGCACGGGAGAAACCAGACTCTACGCAACGCACAATGGCAATGCTATCTTGGTCCGATTCTGGTGGCCGAGGTGCTTGCATGTCGACCGGTGCGACGGTTGTGAGAACAGTCTCTCAATTGCCAGGACGTCCATATACGATATCCCTCGAATGGAAGGAGAGCAGAACCTCATTCTGCGAGATGTACGGATGCGCAAGTGCAGCTGGCCCCGGCCCCGCCACCATCAAGAGGTAAATTTTCGTAAACTTCCTGACACCGTGCACGCACCCAGAAGCAGGGCTACTGGATGCGCTCCCCTTCAAGTTTGGATCTGACTTTCTGTTTCGATGGCTAGCGATGCGCTGGGCGTCGGTGTTATAGGGTTCGATCGACGCGCTGCGCCTCGTAACGCACCTATCGGCCTTTCACGACTATCCGGCCGATGGAACGAGAGGTCGCAAACAGGCTCGAAGCCTGCGCCCAAGTCACGGCGGAGAGAACGGCCATTTTAGAGTTGATTAACATAAAGGGGCAAATGTGAGAGGAGTGGGCGGAGGACAGCTAAGCATGTGTGTACCTACGATTGACCGGAATTTCTAGGCCTGATTTTCTAAGAGCAGATCGGTCCATACGCAGCAGCAGAAAAACGTGTTTTTCGTTGCGACTTGCGGCTAACGTGAGCTTAAGATAGGGGTGCTCAATAAGTTCTAGTCGGTCAAGTTTGCACATGCCGTTACATGATACTTTCCGAAGACGGTGGTGGCAGACTCGCGAAGCGAGAACTACCGAGAAGTCTTACTCACGAGGTAAGGCTAATGTAGCGTAGCTTGACCTCTCCGTCTCTAGTATAACGCACCATATCTGCCTCTGGGGGATTACTGTGGCACCCGCGGACAGATGGGCGAAGCCTGACTCTGAGCCTTCCGGCATGTCAGGTCTATTCAACATTTCGCACGTCCTCGCTAATGCATCCATCAGCGCATCAACGCTAAGAAACGCCGACAATATTCCAGCAAGCCGAATGACCAGTCGGAGGACAAACTAGAGGCTAGTCTCAACTTCTTGGGTCTGTCTGAGCTACACGTGTTCAACGTTCACGTTCCGACGAAGTTAGCGACCTGCTGGTTTCGGCTTTACCCGTACAGCCTAAGCGGGCCCATAAGTACTTCAATCTGGGAAGTTGGCACGTTGTTTTCTTCACGTCCCACCCCGCCGCACCATCCCTTCAGATCTCGCTGCTGCAATTGTCCATTCCCACTTGGCCTGTGTGGTGCCTGACCCGTAATCATTCAAACACACTCCTGTGCCTCCGGTTGAGACATGGGCTCCCCTGTCTTCCAAATTCCGGGGTTTCCTGTGTCCGATGTCGCCGCACAAGAGGGTACCCAACCTCATCCGCAGATCTGGCCGCACTACGACGAAATGGCCGAACCACTAGCTCACAAACACCACGCATCGTGGCCGAAAAATGTGCGCCAATTCTTCGGAACCAACGCACATTCCACGAGGCTCGCGGTCGCTCGACAAATTCACCCCGACTCTGCCGGGCCTCCACAACTAGCTTCAACTCGCTATGACACCTTCATGCCCTCTATGGAGGACGGCTTACGCGCGTCGGTTCCGCCCGATCTTGTACCCTCACAAGAACCCCTGTTCTTACAAGACGCCCGGTATGCGGGCCCTAACACGGTCTTTCCGGAACTTGGACAGCGCCCAGCCTGGGAAGGTTTGCGCGATCAAGTTCCGTCGTATATCTCTCCTCCACAGTTTGCGACCGCGCCCCATTACGTCGTTCATTGGAAGCACGAGGGAGGGATAGAGGAAGATACGAGATGGGGGACAAACGACAGCGTGCCAGGGATATATACCTTTCAGCAGAACACACCGTCTTATCGGTTACCGACGTATCCCAGGGCCCTGTACGACCGTGCGCAGGAGAGTTTGGGCCGTAGACAGGTACGCTCGGGATTCCTCTGGTCGACTCTGGATACGTGATTGGTTTGCTGATATCTGTATGGTTGCTCAGTCGGCGACCATGCACCCAGACCCTTTGCTCCATGATGGTTCGCCCATGGCCCCGCAGAATTCATTTCACCAGGACGACAATCCCTTCTTGATGTATCACACCGCGCTCCCGCAGGCATCTGCTTCGATAAGACACCCTGAATATGCAGCGTCCTCGTTGAACTCCCGAAGCTACACTCTGGAAGGCGCTTTAACCCCTTTAACCCCTACGCCTCGCGCCGCCTCTCCCACCTGTCTGCCAACAAAACGACGACGCATCTCCTCACCCTCACCCCCTCCCATGGGCGCTCTCCTCCCTCCTGATTCCAGCTCCTTCAGCAAGGTCGTACCGGGTACTCAATTGACGCCGCTAGCATTAGCATTACCCGCGCCCGCGCCCGCGCCCACGTCCGCACCCGCACCCGCACCCACGTCCGCACCCGCACCCGCACCCACACCCGCACCCGCACCCACACCCGCAACTGCATCCACAATCACTGTCTTACAGAAACGACGACGTGGACGTCCGCGTAAAGTCCTTTCGTCAGAGCGCCCGTCTTCTCCGCCTGTTGTTGTCGACTACCCTTTCCCTCACTTTCCGGAGGCTGGCACACCATACCTCCCCCCCTGTAACGGAAATCCAACAGTGTCTTCAACGTCTGTCTCTTACCCTGTCCCCACACTGGCCGGTATCGCAAGCTGCGTCGAACCGATAGCGTGTGAGGATGGCAGTGTAAACCCCTTTGAAACGGCCTTGAACCCCCCAATTGGCCAGGCAGTCATCCGCCTTGACATGCACGATAGCGACGGCGACAGGGTTAAGAGACGTTCCCCGGAGAAAAAAGAGTCAATTATGGCGTGCCTGTTCTGCCGCGATCGAAAGATTGCATGCGGCCCTCCACCGCCTGGCGGCCCGCGTCGGTGCAAGTAAGTCGGGCCTCATTTCATGGTGAATCCTAATCTTACGAATTAATTCCAATACAGTCAATGCACCCGCCGCGAGAGGGTATGCGAGTATCCAAAGGAGTCGCGGCGCGGCCTTCACAAGCGAAATACTCGTGCCGCGCGTGTCGAGGCGCTTGTGTCGCGTTCCTCTGCGCCCCCGGCAATCAAGCCTAAAGGCAAGAACAAGGCGGATGTGCGTGGGCGGCGAGGATACCCTTGAACGTCCCAACGCTCCATCGGGCCTGTCATCAAGTTGACATCGGCCATTGTACGCATTGTATCGGGTACATAAATTTGGCCGTTTCCCCTCCCTCGTCTCAACCTTTCGACCCCAGCGCCGAGTCGGAGCGAGGAGTACATCGGCTTGCCCGCATTGGTGTGGGGGCAATTGTGTTGTTTAGTAAGGATACTTCAACGTTGACATGGATGTTACGCCAAACAATATCTAATTCTGTGCTCCCTTCTTACGTATACGTCGTTCTCATCCCCTCTGGATATTATTGGCCAGTGGTCCGCCTATCTCTCCGATAGTATGTCTTATACAGGTGCACGATGCACATAGCTTATGTTATTTGGAGATTGACAGTACTTTATACTTGTCGGAAAGGAGCCAGCATGTTGTGGAAAAGGGCTGAAAGTGTTCGGGAATGTGTTCGGCGAAAACTTGGGGAGAAGTTAGTAATTGAACGCGCGTCCTCCAGTACCTGTGCATATCTGACGCCCGAGAACGGACTTAGCGCCCGCCGATTAACATTTCTACTTCAGCCCACCATGTCCGGTAGCCTCCGCCGCGCATCTCATCCAGACTTGGTGACCATGACTGCTCGGGATAACCGATGCAGCGTCTCCCTACCTACACGGGAAGGCCCCATGCGTATGATCGCACCCACGTCGGCGCCGGCAAGCTATCTGTAGCGGGGACGACGCACACGATTCACAAGATCTACTGCGGCAGCCATCGGGTGCACACCGCAGTCAGGCGGTGATACGTTCGCTCACATCCTGCTTGGAATCCGCTGACAGGATGATGCGTACAACAGACAAATCGCCGGGCCATAGCGCACAGAAGCGCGGAGTGCAGAGCGCGGCCCCGGAACCGTCCTGCGCAGCTAGCGGTGACTGCGTTTGAGCCTCGACTAGTCGGAGTGCCTCTCCGCTTGACCCAGCTCCCCGAGTGCATTGTCAGATGTCTCAGGGTAGACGTCGTGGAGATGGCCTCGCGGGTCGTCGTGCGGCGTGCGTCTGGTCTTCCTCCGAATTTGCGCGGGTGGGCTGTCTCCCAGCGATGTCGCGATGTCGCATACGCGGGATTTACCGCGCTTGAGTCCCGGTATTCTCCCTACGGATCAGTTGGCATCTAGGATTGGAGTTCGAGGCCGTGCGAAGGACGCACCTGAGAGCAGACGTCAGCGTGAGCGTCCTCCTCTGCGCTGCCATTGCAATTGCTGCAGCTCTAATAACTCTCAATCTGACTATTATTGCCGACGGCGTACAGCACCAGAACAATACGACATCTTGGGCTTCATTGTCGAGCGCTATAGACTAACTTCTATGGGCGGTAGATATTCTATCTCTTCTACGCCGTAGCCTGCACTGCACTTGGTCATGCTATGGTAGGTATCGGAAACACCATGAAAGTGATGGCGGACCAGCAGGCATCTGTGCTGCGAGACATGAAGACGGTCCAAGAGAAGCAAGCTGATGCGCTCGCGGCAATGGCCGGTTCGCGAAAGGCAGCGCCGAGCACGTCTCGTCCAGGTCGACGCACCAATGCGGAAGATGAGATGGACATCGACGACGGCGAGTTGGCTGACGACGAGGAAGCGGCGATCCCGATACCGTCGAGGAAGGGCAAGAAGCCGAAGCTACAGGGTCCTCCTGTTGAGCAAGATCCGCAGCGAAAGAAGTTTCTGGTACGCTCCAATTATGAGGGCGTGTATGGGATCTGACACTCGTCGCAGAAGGCGGTGCGTACACTCGCCAAGACGCTGATGAAGGGCACCGGTGAGGATGACTCCGACTCGACGCGGCTCCCCACCAAGGAGGAGCTTCGCGACT